GAGGAAAATCCTTCCCCGTGGAAAACCCATTTATTGTATCCATGAACAAAACCATTAACAATCAAGTGGTCTTCCACCACATTCCTATGATGCCAAAAACAATTAGCGCACAATTTACAAGGGCATAATATTTGATTTCCTTGGGAAGCTCGTTCAAATGCTTTATCAAGAAATTTATTCACTCCTTGTATGTACTCATCAGTTGACCTTCGAAGGCACATCCACCTTTTATCTCCGTTATCCATTAAATTAATTTTATCCTATATAACACCAAAACAAATAGTATAAAATTTGTTTATATACTCCTAATAAAAAATCAAATAATAAGAAAGATAGAAAAAGTCACTTATTGTCAAAATTATATAGATTTCACTGTTGCAAAACTTAACAGTCACCAAACCCATCACATAAATAGTTACGTAAGGCAAATATCATGATTTCTAATACGAAATTAAAATCCAACAACTAAACCCCAATTTCGCAAACCAAAAATTACAAAATGTATCATATAATACTAACAACAGAAAGTAAAATAGTAGGCTTATTAGGAATACTACCAGAGAAAAGAAAAGGAGCATCAAAATAATTTTCCACAATAACGAACAAGACATCGAACATCGATAGCAAATATTTTAAGAAATGGTGGCTATTAAATTCAGATGTGAGATTTCCAATCATGTGTATTCATTATGAAATACTACATAACAAGCCACAAGCATAAGGCACATGATTTCATTAGAATCACAATACCAGATCACTTTATTATAGTTAATTGTAATAGAGAAGGAACCATTCTGTCAAATTCAGTTATTGTATGTATTATCACCAAATTTATCTTTTCCCACAATTACTATATATCATACAGTATATACTATATAATAATAATGTTGTGAAGATGATGATTGATGTGTGTTGGAAAAAGCATAAGCAAGAAGATGAAAAAGGTGAAAAACTATGAAGGTGATCAAAATGACTATAAAAAAAACACTAGCAGAAAACTCTAAAGAAGAGATCCACTAAGTAATTTGTCCAAAAATAACATAATATCTCTTAATAAGTGATTAATTAATATCATATAAAATGGAGTTCTTTTAGGTTTGAATTAATTTAATAATTAGTCAGTTTTCTTAATTGTAGGGATTCTACCATATTTTGAAAAAAGTTAACTCTGCTGGAAATTTGTTAATATAACAATGACTTTGCCATATTTTTGGTAGCTTCCTAGTTCTAGATCCTACTATTGGAAAAGTGAAAAGGTGTATTGAGTAGAAAATTAAACTAGAAAGAGAGCTTATTACCTTAAATTGGAAACAAGTGGAAGTCCTAGTAAATGAATTTCTAGTCTAGGCAGCTGATATTTTCCTTTTTTTTGTAACCTATGCATCCCCTGGATGCTTCTTGTTAATGAAATATAACTTATTTCATAAAACAAAAAGTTTAGGCAGTTGAAATTAAGTGTAGGAGCATATGAACCAACATAGATTATATTTTATTATACTTGTATTGTAATTGTTCATTACGGAATAAGTTTCTTCCTTCAAACAGTACAAACCATTATTGTCAAGAAAAAAAATGTAGAATAAGACTCATTGTTGATAAAAAGTCCATACTAGAAAAAGATTTAAACACGAAACAAGTCTATTCTCAACAGCCCTATCCAAATCCACCAACCAAACCCCCAATTTTACAAACCAGAAATCAAAAAAGTTATCATATAATACAAACAAAGGATAGAGTAAATTAATGGGTTTATCATAAATCTTATCAGATAAAGAAAACAGAAGCAGCGAAATAATTTTTCGGTAAAACAATAGCGAACAACCATAGAAAATATTGAACACAAAAAAAATACCAAAAAAAAGTCCATACTAGAAAAAGATTTAAACATGAAATTGATCTATTCTCAACATCCCTTTCATCTATCCAGATCCACCAACTAAACCCCAATTTTACAAACTAGAAATCAAAAAATTAATCATATAATACAAATCAAGGACAGAGTAAAATAATGGGTTTAACAAAAATCTTACCAATGAAAGAAAACAGAAGAAGCAACGAACCAATTTTCCGGCGAAACAATAGCGAACAGCGAACAACAACAAAATACATCGAACACGGGAAATATATCGATAACCTACATCTGAGATTCCCTTATATTAGCCGAAATGGTTGTCCCTTGTCGGAATGGATCTTCCTTCCGCTAAGTTCGTCGATGGTAATATTTTCTAGGTTTAACAAGATGAGAGAGAGGTATGATAGATGCAAAGACAAGAGGGAGACCAAAGGCTTCAGTACTAGTGCATTTTCTAACTTACCAAATAACCTAAAGAGATTTGGTATTAAAATTTTGGTGGGGTCATCATTTTTTATTTTTTTAATAAAAATATAGGAGGGAAAGTATGGAGGGAAAAATAAACCGTCCCAATAAATATTTTATTTTAGCAAACCGTTCCCATAAATAACCCTATTGTATCGCCTTTGATAAACCGTCTCCATAGCTTCAGTTATGGCGACGGTTAGAATCCTATTA